AGAGAACCCCAATTGTTTATATTTCGAAAAGCTTGTGGAGAGGAGTTACACTTTCACAAATTTCTACTGAAGATAATTTAAATATACATATCTTGGATGCTAATAATGAAATTTTAGTACTGTAACTTCACTGGAAGTATCTTTGCGCACCATCGCCATATAAGCCATACCAAGGTGTTATGTGAGCTATAGGATAGAGTCTGCCGATGTAGCCAATTTTTTTACTCCATATTCTCAATATTTTTTTAGATTTTTAAGGAAAATTTCATAACGATATCTCAACGGGAAATATTTATGGCCACGGCTCCATACAAGCCCAACCAGTGTGCACTGGCGCCGTTGACTCAGTAGATCTGCTAGCCACCCTCAATTGGAAAGTTCCGTGCAGAGCTACTCGCCGATTCTAAGTCTATTGAGCAGTACATTGCTTTAATAAACAAATTTTTATTTTTATGCTATGTATATAATTTTAAGTCTATTGAGCAGTACATTGCTTTAATAAACAAATACAAATTAACAAATTTTTAAACTAAAGCTAAACTCTCACGTTCGAAGCCAAAAGTATTGCGTTTCAATTATCAATCAAAATTGCATCGGTCAGCATAATTAAATTTCACAACGAGATGCGACAGTTTCAGCATAAGCTTTTATTTTAAACAAAAATCAGCTTCTGGCCGAGGTTTGTTGGAGAAGATTTTAGAATTAAGGAGTCAGTCTAATTCGGATTGAAACCGGGATCGGTCATAAGAAATAATCTTAAGTAAAAGCGTCCTGATGTATTATTGAGTTAGTGAATTAAGGTCTGCACCAATAAGGTAAAATTAAAAAATAAAAATTATATTTTTTTTAATCAACCAATACGATCAAATTTAATTTGTTTTAAACATTTATTTTATGCTATTTATTGTATTATTCTACAATACTATTAGCAGAACGCAATTTTACGACAGTTTTGCCGAGTTTAAATCCCCCTTCGTTTATGTTAAGTTGAGCAACTGCTCTTCAAGTCAGCTGTTAATGGATGTGGATGTCAAAAATCCCAACCGTTTCACATGGATGGATTGTATGGAAAGAGACTATTAAAAGTTTATTTTATTGTTTATGACTTCTATTGGTCATAGTCGCAGTATTGGTTGCGCTCATGGTCAAATCTGTAAAGCAGGCCATCCTGATGAGCCAGATTGCAGTCAAACTGGGCAAAAGGGCCTAAGTAACGGTTAAGTGCCGCAAAACAAAAATTTGACAAATCGAAATTCGTAAGAGATAATGGAATTGTAGAAATCCAGTTAGAACAAGAGAAAACGCTATAGTCGGGTGCCCCGACTATTAGATACCCGCTACTCAGCTTAAAGGAGTGCGAAGGAGATGGAGATATTACACTTTGATCGCGCATAGCTTTTTAACGAAGGGTCCGATTTGAAAAATTTTTTCTACATTTCGATAGGTATTGATTGGTATTTGTTTGCTTTTCCGAAATCTTTAAAGGAGTGGGCGCCAGACACCTTTTAAAATCGTTTAAAGCGATTTTAGGCGTTAGAGGGGGCGTGGCGCTCTGCTAAAATAAACTCGCGCTGCGTAAAAAGCCCAAGTTTTTCCTGAACCACCACCATTTTTGTTCGATCGGTCGGGACATAAGTTGACTTAAACTCGTTCACATCGTAAAAGCTAGGCTAAACTTTTTCTGAGAATGTTAGTACGTTTCGTAAAGCTCAGTAAAGTTTTACTAAAATGCACATACAGCTGTGAAAAAAATAATAGCACCACTAACCCAAAAAAACTTTAACTAGTCACCCTACTCACATTTTTTAACTTTTCAAAACGGGTTTGAAATAGTAAGGCTAAACATAATTTGAATATGAAAAAAAATGTTAGCTTTATAAAAGGTTTCTGGACTTATTTAAGAAAATCTATGCAAAACTGGAAAAACGTACGAAAAAAATAATAGCACCACTTCTCTAAAAATAGAATAAAAGGTAGAAAAATGACAAATGGGTAACTTAATCTTTAGTTGGCGGTAGCAAAGAAGTAAATCTAAGTTTAAAGTGTAAATATCTTTTGCGATTTTTGGATATAATGACTTACTATCGATTAAACAAGTCAGGACCCTACCTATAAAGGAATTGGGGACCAAAAGTCATGATATATTTTCAAATTTATTCGAAAATGATTTAAGATCTTTTAGATTAACTGTTTAAACTGTCTTTAAAAAAAAAATTCGAAGATTTTTGGTTGTGTTATGGTCAAGCGAGTACACAAGTCAATGTATATTGCTTACTGAGTACTTTCGAACTGTGATCCTGGCCGGATTTTATTGGTCAAAGATTATTTTAAGAAGTATTTTGTATTCAGTTTAAGCTACGAATTACTACCGTATTACTATTTACATCATAGGATGATTCATGAACGATGTATTCATCCGTATTGATCTTACTTCAAGAAGAAAAAACAAGCCTATGTTAATACTAGGTCCATGCTCAATAAATGGATGTTTTGGTACCATGTTTTTGGTCAATTTAGGTGTTTAGAAGACACATGACTTATAAAAAGGATTTCTTCCCTGCAGGAAACGGAATCAGTTTTGGACTATTAAAATACTAGTTGGGTCAAGAAGGTTAACTAGTTCAAGTTATGTCCATTTCCTTGTAACGAAGTGGTCCATTTTTCATATGCTTGTCGTCGGAAACAACTAGTCCATTTGCTACTAGTTTTGCACTAGTGACTGTTAACCAATTTATATTTACAGCTGTTAAACTACACTCAAAAAAATATTTTCACGAAAAAATTAAAAATAATCTCTAAACCATCAAGTGATTGAATTTCACTAGTACTTGACGATGCCTAACTTGACGCTCTTCTAATTTAGTATCCAATCAATAGGCGCGGTCCTTAGAGAATTTCTGACAATTATTATGAAATCAAATACAGTAAATGATAATTAAATGGAATTAAAACAAACTTACTTTTTTTGAGGCAAGTTGCCCTCTCTAGGACTTGAACCCGGGACCTTTGGATTTGTAGACACACTAACTGATTGAGCCATACACGCATCACATTTTGTAATGCCCTAACAAGGTTTATGAATTTTAGTGTGACATAATTCAAAAACAGTAATTTTTCACATATATATTGCCTCGGACAGATTAAACAAAGTTTAAAATAAAACTAAAGCATCACCTAGCAAACAAAAAACAAAAAAAATGCACAGAGACTGGGGATTGAACCGAGGACCTCGAGTGTTTGATTTGTTTATTGTTAAATTTCCCAAGACATTTACCCTCTAGGCTATATTTTTGGATCATATGTGTTTCATTTGCAACTAGTTAAATTCCAGTTGCCTTTTAACTAGACCCTAACATGTATTTGTTCTACCAGTTAAATATTTTTAAGGTTTTTTTTGTCAGAAAGGTACTAGTCCGAGACAAGTTTATTTTTTACTAGTTTTGTATTAATCAATTTTTCGACTAGCACAAATTTTCTAGACCCTGTGTAGTCCAAATGCATTCAGACAAATTCCGGTTGCTTTATATTAGTTATTTAACTAGTTGTTTTTCAGACTAGTTCGCATTTTTCCTGCAGGGTTCTTACCCAATTTAACTTTGCATTTCGGATAGGATTTTTTTTTTAAGTGCATGTTTTATAAATTTGTTTATTGAAACATTATCCAATTATTAAAATATTCGCTATTATTTTAAGCACGTGTTTTAGTTTAGTTTTGGACCTGATAAGATTCTTTGTGCTTTGTGATATAACATTTTGGAAGGAAAAATGGGCCAGGACTCGGTTTTTCTGTGTTATCCTTCAAAGTTTATGCCATTCTTAATGAAGATGATCCAAAACCTAACCAATCGAACCGGTTTTCATGACCGTTTTTCATCCAATATGTTTCTTTTTTGAATATTTTTCTTTTCCGACTTGGAAAATTTTCCACATGTCGTTGTATTGCCAAATGGTAATCAATTTGATGTCTGGATATCAGGAGAAGTTAGTTTTAGTCAAATCTCATAAAATATATCCTTTATACACAAGAATATTAGCGCATCGTAACGTTTTATTTAAAGAAAACGGAGGTGGTGCTATTATTTTTTTCGTCCTTTTTTTGACTTTTTTTCTTAAAATCTGAAAAAATTATATGTAGACAATATTTTCGATATCCGTATCAATTTTTTCAAATAGGTGGAATACTAATCAAGATAATAAAAAACACTTCTTATATAAAAATCCCCGTTTTCCACATATTTCTTTAATATTAAGAACCTGTGACGAAGTGGTGCTATTATTTTTTTCGCAACTGTAGATATCTTCTTCCCTTCTATTTAAGGCTTTACCTGTGAAAAAAATCTTTGGCAACAACATAACTAAAAAAACAAGAAAGGAAGCTAGCTTCGGATAGCCGAAGCTTATATACCCTTGCAGATAAAGCAAATACCTATAGTTTAATGCTCACTCGGTGCAGTTCCAGGGATTCCAGATTCAGCGTGCATATTTAAATTTTGTTTTTAAGCTGTCAAAAATCAAAACGCCTACTTCCTACAAAGTTACAATGAATTTTCTTATATTTGTTTGAATATTCCTATGGGAGCCTTAAGATTTAGTGGTCCGATCCGGCTCGCTCCGACATATGTACTACCTGCAATAGAAAGAAGACTTTCGGGAAAGTTTCATCGCGATAGTTTTAAAACTGAGAGACTAGTTCGCATAGAAACGGACAGACGAACAGACGGACATGGCTAGATAGACTCGGCTATTTGTGCTGATCAAGAATATATATACTTTATGTGGTTAGAAACGTCTCCTTCACTGCGTTGCAAACATCTGACTGAAATTATAATACCCTCTGCAAGGGTATAACAAGAAGGATACACAAATTTATCAGATGTCCGTCGCTCTAACGAAAATATATACATATAATATATACCTATTTATTTGTTTTTCTTAACAGAAAAGCATTTAAAGATGGTCTAAACATCTAAACAATTGGGATTATTTTAAACATAAATGAATATACTTTAATGTATTTATTTGTCAATTTACAGGTCAAACATATGAATTTATTAGTTTTTGTAATCGAACTTTTGGTTGGTTTCGAAATCGTTCTGCTTTAATTCGATGCAGTTCGTGTCCTTTTGTAGAAACATAAAATGGTGAAATTCCGGTTTTTTTTAAAACGATTTTATTTCCTAATGTAAAATGCATATAGTCAATTTCTTTATTATTGTGATGAAGAGCTGAATTGGAAAATGGCATTCCTTTTACTTCGGTGAATCTATTTCTAGTATATTGCTGTTGAACAATGTTGAAATTTGTTTCATTAGCTATATTTTGATAGGATCTTTGTCTCATTAAACCAATAAAAAATGCTTTCACAATATGTTGAAGGTTTGTAGACCCCTCAATTTTAGCATATAAATCTTTTATGCCTATAACTTTACAAATTGTTTGTATTGCCCGATGGCATACTAAGCCATATCCATCAGGTTTTTGAAAACAAAAAATTTTCGTATTTCCAAAATCTGTACGAAAGTCATGATAAATAGTCCTATTTTCACACAGGTCTACGTTGATTAGTTTTTGTCCTGCACGATTTTTTGACTTTCGAAGTGCCGTACGAGCTTCTGGCGCTTTAACAGTAGCAAATCCAGCTAAGCCGCTCCCATTTCCCGTGACCGATAAGACGGAATATCTTCTTTTCCTACCCATATTTCCTTTCATAATAAAAACAATTTTGTTTTCCAAAACTCGAGTATCGAATGATGTAAACTCTTCATCGCCAACAGTATCGGGCTGTCCAATACTTCGTCCAGGCATTTTACTTCCGGACCAACCACGATCTATTGGATTTAACTTCATCAACCTAAAATTTCCCATTGAATCACGTAATTTCATTATTCCGTTTTCTCTATCTACGTTTTCATCAAGTTTCTGCTGATGAATGATTTCATTTCCACGCATGATAGGTGAATTCAATCCGGGCCATAAACGGCTTATTTTTCCAAAGCCTATAGTTTGTCCTTTGTTGAGATCCTTTGCAACTTTCTTCCCACTTCCTTTCCCACGACCTCTTTTTTTTCCAGCGTTGCTAACCGCAGTTACTCCACGCCAAATGTCTTCAGCAGGCACTAAAAGAAAAGAAGATATATCTTTACCAAAGTGTTTTTAATTTAAACGACGTACGAGAAAATAATAATTTTAAAACTTTCCGATCGGCTATTTACCTATTAATAAAATCAACTATACAAAATGTTAATAATGGTATTAAATAAAAAAATTCCCGAATTTCACTTTTCAGATCTGTTTCTCATAACATTTTTGAAGTGAAATTTCTTTAGGCGCGTTATGCGTTTTTGGGGACGGAGTAAAACCAATTCATGGCCGTCACGAAAATCTTCTTCCCTATCACCGATATTCATATATTGCTCTCTCTTTTTCTGTCTTATAATCTGCCTGCACTCGGCAGTAGCAGAGACAAATTTCGGCCGGTCCGTCATTCTCTTTTGCGCTTAACCGTTATGTTCAGCTAGCGACCAAAATTTGGCTGGACTAATATTCGTGAAGCAGCGACATGTGTATGCCCTTACTTTTAGGGAGCATTATTATTTTTCGAAATAAAGAAATTAATTTCCTGTTATAAACTTAAATTGTTTATTCATAAAATTTGATTCAATTTTTTATTTAACTTGATTTTATAAGTTCATTTTTTTAGTTGAGTTTAAAAAAATGGTCCATAAATATTTATTTAAATATAGAAAATTAGAAAAGCACCCTTGTTTTTTATAGCAAACCCGGGAACTTTGAAATTCAATTACAAGAGAACCATGGCCGACTGCCAAATTCTTTTTGCACGTAAATTCTTAAGAAATCGCGGTCCATCGAGGATAATTTTTTCGCGAATTTCGGGGGTGAGCCCGCTAATGTATAGTATTACCAAAAAAACTATTCCCTGGGGGCGGGTTTTTTTATGCAGAAAAATATGCGACAAATTTAAAAACGATCAATTGAGCCGTTTAGAAATGCCGATGAACACGGACTTTTAAAAACGTGGTTTCGAGAAAAACATGTCACATGTAAAACATGTATAGAGCACTTTAAAAAGACGTTTTGCGGTGTTCACTGTATCTCCGCCAAAAATTGATGAATTTCCATTCCGCTTTTAGATTTCGTTTAAGAATAGAAAAATCCCGCCCCCTGGGAAGTTTTATTTTTTATTTTTTTACTTTAAATATTTTATTAAGCCGTGCAAAATCAAAAAGAAAAATTTTACTAGTACTAATTACATCCTAACTTCCAAAGTTCTTTTAGATTGTCTTAAAACTTTTTTGTATAATCTTAAGATGTTAATCTACAAGAAAAGAAATATAAAACAATTGGATTTCTTTTTTTGCAAGACCCTACCATTAATTATTGTTTAGCTTTTAACTAAAATAATAAAAAAAAATATATATATTTCGAGACATCAAAAAAAGAAAACAAGAAAGAAAGCTAGCTTCGGCCAGCCGAAGGTTATATACCCTTGCAGATCATTCCTATTAATTAACAAATCGCAAAAATGTTCAATTTTCTAATATTTCTCATTAATTTTCCGATCGTTCCTATGGCAGCTATATGATATAGTCGTCCGATTTTGATCAAATTAAAATTGAAATTCGGAAATATTTAAAAAGAGTCATATCCTAGAGTAGAAGATAATACAATAAAAACCAAAGAAGCTAGAATTTATTTCCTATTACTTTTCCATTAATTTACCGATCGTTCCTATGGCAGCTATATGATATAGTAGTCAGATTTTTTAAATATTTAATTCGAAATTCAGAAATATTTAAAAAATAACATCCCCAAAAGTAGAAGGTAATATTTAAAAAAACAACGAAGCTAGAATTTTTTTAACGTTTTTTTTTCCGATCCTTCCTATGGGAGCTATAAGATATAGTTGTCCGATCCGGTCGGCTCCGACATATATACTACCTGCAAAAGAAAGAAGACTTTTGGGAAAGTTTCATCCCGATAGCTCAAAAACTGAGAGACTAGTTTGCGTAGAAACAGACAGACGGACAGACGGACATGGCTAGATCGACTCGTCTAGTGATGCTGATCAAGAATATATATACTTTATGGGGTCGGAAACGTCTCCTTCACGGCGTTGCAAACTTCTGACTGAATTCATAATACCCTCTGCAAGGGTATAAAAACAATATTAGAAAACGTCTGCCCCTTGCGGGAATCGAACTCGCATCAACATCGCTGATCAACGCTTTAACCAGCACGACCATAAACCGAGTTGAAAATGTTGGACAGAAAACCCTTTTCGACTTTTATATGTTGTTGGCCCTAGATTATAGAAATTACAAAAATGAAATTTTGTCGAAAATGTGTTGCCACCCCACCGGGAAAATTCCTCTGGAAAATAACATATTTTCAAGATGTTTCTCCATAAAAGCGGAAGGGACAAAACCTCATTCACCCCTTACATTTCTTCCATCTTTGGTTTCAAAATACACAGGGGTGACACAAAAAGTAAGGGGGAAATGAGGTTTCTATCTGGATCTCTGGCAGAAGAATGCAGGACAAAATCCACTGGTTTTTCGACTTCCCGCATTATAGATTTTCCACACGTACCCAGTTATGGTTTTCCTCCACTTGCAATATCTGCTTTTCTACACCCTCCCAGTTTTGTTTCTTCCAGACCCTCGCAGTTTTGGTTTTGCACTGCTTTCCAGTATCTGATTTTCCACAATAAAAATCATGTTTTTTGTAATATTTGTTTGTGTATTTATTAATAATATTTACAATCGAAGCATTGGAATTAAAAATGTTTAATGCCTAAAGCATTCCCGGGTTTTGCTTGGCCGAATGCAGTTCTTAGGTATCCATGTCTTGTCTGTCTTCTGAAAATATCAAAAATAATTAAGATATGAATGTAAGACCAAAAATAATAATAAGAGTAATTACCATTATTACGTCTCCGCACAAAATTAAAGGATCTGGTTTGCCATGGCCGATCATTTACCCTCTGTTCAGCTGTTTTATGTCGGGTATCTATATCAAAAACAAGAGAGAACGCTATAGTCGGGTGCCCCGACTATCAGATACCCGTTACTCAGCTAAAGGGAGTGCGAAAGAGATGGAGAAAAACTTTGATCCACCGTAACTTTTTAACGAATGGTCCGATTTAAAAAATTTCTTCTACATTTCGATAGGTATTGATAAACACAATAAAACTGCATTTTTACTTTTCCAAAATATTGAAATTTTTAAAATCGTATATAAGCGATTGTGGGCGTTAGTGGGGGCGTGGCACCCTTTTGAAACAAACTTGCGCTGCGTAGGAACTCCTAGAATCTGCATGCAAAATGTCAATCTTCTAGCTTTTATAGTTTCGGAGATCTCAGCGTTCATACAGACAGACAGACAGACGGACAGACAGACGGACAGACGGACATGGCTAGATCGACTTGGCTAGTGATCCCAATCAAGAATATATATAGTTTATAGGGTCGGAAACGCTTCCTTCTACCTGTTACATACTTTTGCACGAATCTAATATACCCTTTTACTCTACGAGTAACGGGTATAACTATGAGAAGAAAAAATAAAATATGACAAACGCAGGCGCAACACTTCTGGTCCCAAGAAGTCTCAGTCGGCCTGGCTGAAATAAATTTAATATTTTGATGAATTTAAACAACTAAGTTAGTACTGAAGTACTATTTATACAACCATTTAATGAACACCTCACATCATTTACCACTGGTAAAGATTAAAAACATTTCAAGTGTCACTGAAATGCAGAATTTGTGTTGAAGATAGCATCCCGGAGGCGTATATTTATTAATGGCGAAAATATCTGTGATACTAACCTTTGTAACGCTGAAATAAAGATTATAAAAAGACAAAATTTATTTTATCACTCACCTTTTTATTGCTTTTTAGATTAAAATTAACTATTTTCACTTTTTTTTCACTTTTTCCAACAAATTTAAAAATGATGTGACCCTGCATTATATTCTCGATAATACCAAAATAAATAAAAAAAAAAATACATTTCGTTGTAAAGTTGGGTCACACTTTGGCGCCGAATAAATATTTCCTTTAAACAATACTTTTCAGGGACCGTAATCATTAAAGGTTACGTATATTATAGGTATATTAGGCATTTTTCGTGTTATTAATACTACCAACACGAATTTTTATTTTTTAACAACACTTAAAAATGGCTTAGGCCACGATCTGACGATCAAATTATTTTATTTCACAGAAAATACTTAAAAATGTGTAAAACAATAATAGTTTTCTTTGTAATTTAATGGAAATCCTTGATAAATGTGATCAAATATTTTAATCGTCTTAGCGTGGCTTTTCTTTATAATTTTTTTTTTGAATCCCACATTCATTCTTATTATTATTTGTAAACATTTTGAGTAAAATAAATTAAAATCATCAATAAATATTATGATTATAGACATTTTGATTATAATTATTTAGTTTAATTTATTTGATTAAAAATTAATAATATTTTTTCTACGAATTTTAAAATTACTAAAAATTTAAGATAAATGTGAGAACAAGATTTTTGGTTTTGGTGTAAATAATAGGATTGTTTAATATTATAAGTTGGTGATTTTTTTGTTAAAAGAATTATAATCGTAGTGCCATAGAAATCACACAGCGCATAAGTGGCCTGATAGCGATGCTACTCAGAAACCCACCCCCATTTAACGCTCAGAAATTATCTGTCCCCACACCGCCGCCTGCAAAAAGGAACAGGATTTCAAGTACACAAAAACCAACTTCTCACTTTCCCGCTGGGACGTTCTCGCACACATACACACAAGGCCCACTTACACTTATGCATTGTGTACTCAATAAACGAATTCTAAAAATAGAACAAGCTCTTTCCCGCTTTTCTCCTTGCCGACAACAGTTTGAACAGAAAGTCAGAGTTATGCCCTCTCTATATAATGTATACTCTTTGGTAGGACATCTCGAACAAATGTCTCTATGGAAAGTCACAAGTGCCAAATGACATGTCACGAGTGATTCACCCGGTGATTCACGAGTGAAAACTGATTTCTGGAACTGAAGGGTATATATATATTTATATTTTAAATATATTTGTGTATTT